AACGCCATTTACAGAAATTGTGCTTTACAGTCGACCACGAGCGAAACAAACACAGAAAACGGCTTTCAAAAGAGTGCGTAGGCCCAGTGAACGTCGAACAACGGGATTCAGCAAGTCCTTTCAAATCAGATAATAGCGTAATGCATGATGTTAGCTTACGGAGTTAACGCCTTCAGTTGAAATGATAACAGCTGTGTACCAAGTAAACAACTGGGCGGACCATGCAAATTACATTTCCCATGATGCATTGGTGCAATTCCTGGGATTGCGGAGCCGCGCTTTAAAGCAATTATAAATTTATGATGTATTTTTTTGACAGTGTATACATATATTCAGTCAAGGTTTTATCGATCACCTGAGGTGATTCTCGGTCTACCCTATGGGATGCCTATAGACATGTGGAGTTTTGGTTGTATACTTGCTGAGCTGTACACTGGATATCCAATCTTTCCTGGAGAGAATGAAGTAGAGCAGCTTGCCTGCATTATGGAGGTATCTACATTCTGTATTCAATTGCATACTAATTCCAAAAGTCGTTAGTGATAATCGCATGGGCATGAAGGATGCTGGTTTAATCTCCTTAATCGACAGTCATTCAGCAGTATAAAATTCAGTATGTTATGCCTTGTCAACAAAACATGCAGTGTTTGGGTTTGGGAGAATTGTGTCCTAATTGGATGTAAACAGGGTATCTTTCTGGCAAAGAGTAGCAGATTTTCAGTGAGATGATGTTCTTTTCTCTCATGTTAGTTCTTGTAAGATTCTGGCCTTCCAGATCTGTAATCAGACTCTTTACCAGCAGATCCTATGTAAAAGAAAATAAATGTGTTAATGATGTGGTTATGTATAACCAGAAAAATCAATTAGGGCCTACATACTTCTAAACGAGAAAAAAAAAATGTTTTTTATCCTTGTGTAAGAAGTCTGACCTTACCCATTTTACCTGAGGGAATACACATATTAGATTGCTGAAATTTGTTTATTCATAGTTAGTTGCCAATTTTATAAAAATTCATCAAACTTGAATATTTACTGTAACCCTTTCTTCTATTTGGGGTGTGGGCGTGGAGGGGAATCATACTAAACTGTCCTGATAAATTTTCTTGAATGTGTAAGATATAAGCCATGACGAGAAAATTACAACACTATAATGACTTGATATAAATAAAGAATTTTTGAAATTTGGATTATGTTACTATGACAACCACTGTAATTAAAACATATCCAACTGAGTGAAATGTGGTTGAATTGTATTGATTCAATCACTGTATGGTGTTTGCCTCATACAAATTAGCAAAATATATATTACATTACACCCCCCCCCCCCCCATTATTGGCATCTATATCATTTTTGTTTATTCATTAACAGTCATTCAAGTGAACACGTCTAAAGTGAAAAATAATAATGAAATTTATTTATTGTTATGGTTCTATTCATTTCACTGTTCTTGGTACTTTACGTTCATTTGCAAACTTCTTGTGGATTACCAGTGAATTTTATTAAAACATACTATAATTAGGTAGCAGAAATATTATTTGAAATCTTTCGTTTGAGACTAAATAGTGACTCAAAGACCCAGCAAGTATATTTTTAGAATTGCCTTTTATAAATGTACATATCTGTATCTACATTCTGAGACATTTCCCGGATATGCAATGACCAAGTGTGTATAATGACAAGTCGTACCATTTGACAGGTACACATCAAGTGATTCGGGGATCCCATTAATTTTTTACCAAATGGTGGCCATCTTAGTCCAAAAAATGCTGAAAAATTATATTTTTAATGTGTGATCAACCATTTTTCAAAGATGCCTGCCTCAATTTCTTTTAAACTTGGTATGAAGGTACAATATATAATCTGCGTAATTTCCAATGTCATTCGTGTGTAATTGATGTTAACGGCACAATCAAACACATTTTAGCATGCAGAGCAGATGATGATATTGTCACAAACTACCCGAGACCAATATTAAAATCAGTATTTATTATAAACAATGAGTACTTGATGCAGATTCTATAATTAAACAGTTGTTAACCCCATGTCGTCTCGGTGCACAAAATATATCTGATAATATAAGATAGCGCATATAAATATTTTAATATGAGTGAAAATAAAACCTATCTTGTGAAAGTAAATAACAGAATAGAAAAGAACCATGTTCCGTACGTTCACCGGCCATGCACCTGTAATTAATTCAAGTTTTCTCGTAAAAGCAGGAACCAAACTACCGTACCAATCACGATTATTATTCAATGAAATACACTTTTTACATGCATATTTGTAATAAATGTCGCTGACGCCCGGTAAAAACACCCTGGGCCTATACTCGGGGATGCCCTCAACTTGATGTCTAAAAACAGAGGGTGGGCTTATACTCTGGGAGGGGCTTATGCTCGGGAAGTACGGTGAATATTTTAATACACCTATCTTGTGAATGCCCTATTCAGCACTTATTCAGTCACAGCAAAATAGATTTATATATTTCGCTTCATAATTTATATTTGTGTTCATTTTAAATATCTTTATTACAGATTCTTGGACTGCCACCTTCACACCTTATAGAGGATGCTCAGAGGAGGAGATTGTTCTTTGGTAAGTCAGTTCACATGATTTGTCTATTGTCTTGAAATTATTTGAAATGTCCACTTGCCATTGTAGTTTACACTTTTGTAATTTTTTTATGTCGGGAGTAGCAGATATTCATTTGGTGCTGTAGAATACTTTATTTTAGCTGGAATTAATTTTCTCTAAAAAGACTTTTTGGGTGTTTTGTTTGGAATTGATTTTCACTGATTTTTGACGAGTTGAATGTAAAATATAGGGAAAAAAATATATAATCGCTGGATTTTATTTTCACTGAATAATTCCATCAGCGAAAATATCAAAAATTAATTCCAAGCGAAAATAAAGTATTTTATAGTACTTGTATTTATGTGTTTATGCATGTTCTGGGGCCTAAGATCAGCCATTTTCTGATGACCTACCATCATGTGATGTCCACTCAACCAATGAGCAAATGACATTTACATGGTGATTTTTGCATAAAACATTCTGATTACCAAATTGCTATTATCAGACCTCAGACCTGTACACTGTTATATCATGATGATGGTGTACAAAAGTGTATTGTATCAAACTTAGTTTCAAACTGCTCTTTTATAGATGATTATTTTGTGTTCATTACAATGGTACTAAACATTTGAATGCTATAAATGTTCTACGCCAAAAAATTTGGTGTGACATAATTTATTTTTGGGAAATTTGATTTTGGACCTATTAGATTTAAAAAAATATTTTGGGAAATTTGACAAAAGTTGATTTTGGCGTTCAATAGGAGAAGCTAGCATCCGATGGAAGGTACTGCAGCCTTAACACTGTATTTTGTGATTAAACATTTGACCATAATGTATTAATTAAAGTTAACCTTTATGCTTGGTTTTTAGACTCCAAAGGCACTCCTAGGTGTATCACAAATAGTAAAGGGAAAAAAAGAAGACCCAGCTCAAAGGATCTTTGCCATGCAGTCAGAACCAGTGATTCAAATTTTGTTGATTTCATTCGGCGATGCCTTGAGTAAGTAAAACAGCCCTCTTGTATCACATTTTAGAAATTGTTTGTTTTTATTCATTAAATACAAGTTAAAGATGACTTGAAATATTTTAATTGTGTTGCTGTGAATGACACTTTATTATTTTTCAAGGGACATTTCCAGTGAGTTAGCTTAACCGATAATATTAATATTTCACTTTATTTAATTCAATAATTCTAATTACTGGTAGTTACACAAGAACTTAAAAAAAAAATATCCGGAAAATTCTAGGAAAGCCAGTGCACAATCACTCATCTTGTATACATTTGAAATATGTGTTTTGTCTTGCGAACATTTGTATTCACAGTAATTCGAAAGAAACATATTTCCAGTGTATCAGACTAACTTTAGTACAACACAAGCACAACATTACATAGTCTGTGGGTAACCTGGGCTGCTAACAAGATTCCTTTGTTTTAAGTTGCTGCAGAATTGACAACCATCATCCAAGTCATTGATCATTTGTGAAGAATGAGATTTGATGATTGTGAAAAGCATTGCCACTACCTACTGCAAAGGAATCACTGCATTTTAATTTAGTTACATGTATTTTTGCAGAAAATAAAATCCCATCAATGAAATCTTCGTGTAAAATAACAATAAAACTTGTTGTTTCTCTGCAAAATGTGAAAATGCATCAAAATAGTGAAATCGAATGCCAGTGAAAATAGATGGTTTTTAAAAGCCTTGCAAAGCTAGTCTACTGTTGAATTGTGTGATGTGCGTTTGTTTGTCAACAGTTTTGCATTATTAGTGCTATTATGAGGTTATTACGAG